AATATACTTTTTTTTTGGAAAATCTGTTTCCCCGACCTGGTCAACATTGGGACTTAGCTCCCCAAACGCCATTGATTCTGTTATAACCCCAAATGACATTGATTCTGTTATAACCCAAAATAAATTTGATCTTCTTGTAACTCCAAACTACATTCGAGCCTGTTGTAACCCCAAACTACATTTGATTCTGATTCTGTTATAACCCCAAACTACATCTGTTTCTGTCATAACCCCAAACGACATTGATCCTGCTATAACCCCAAACTACATTCGATCCTGTTATAACCAAAAACTACATTTGATTCTGTTATAACCACAAACTACATTTTATTCTGTTATAAACCAAAACTACATTTGTTTCTGTTATAACGCAAAACAGCATTGATCCTGTTATAACCCCAAACTACATTCGATCCTATTGTAACCCCAAACTACATTTGATTTTGATTATGTTATAACCCCAAACTACATTGGATTCTCTTATAACCCCAAACTACATTGGATTCTCTTATAACCCCACACTACATTGGATTCACTCAAAGAGAGAGAGAGAGAAATGGAGTTTAACGTCCACTCGACACAAACTAGGTCATTTCGGGACTAACATATGGTTTTAATTTTATTTCAATAATTCGCTTGCGCGTAGGGGTCTTTAGCAGTGGGAGGAAACCGGAGGACCCGGAGAAAACCCACGAGGTTGGACAGGCGACCCTACTCCTTGTCACGTACAACCGGGGATTCGAAACCAGGCCAGTTGACTCAATGACAGGCCTTATGAACGTGCTAACTATTCGGCCACCCATCCCCCCATTCACTCAAAGCCATTATAACCGCACATAGGTGAAACTTGTGATGGGTCTCTTTTTGTGGAGTTCTGGGTTTGAACCCAATATCAGTTTTCGGTAATGAACACTTGTCTTACACAAGAAAACAGGAACATGAGTTATTGGCATGCTGGATCAGGGGGCTTCACATGCAGCCGTCGCCAGATACTTTAATGTCCACCCACTGACCATTGCTCGCCTCGAACAACGCTTCTACGGCACTGGAAGAGTTGCCGATCGACCACCGACCTGGAGCGCCACCTATAACAACCGCTGCTCAAGATCGCCATATGCGACTACAGCAGGGGAACTGTTGGAACACGGCAACGTCAGATCAGCCCTCAAACAGTCCGAAGGCGCCTGGCTGCTCTTGGGTTACGCTGTCGTCGACCTTACAAAGGTCAAATACTTTTGCATCGTCATCGACTTGCCAGAGAGCAATGGGCCGCAAATCAGGGGTATCTGCATAACACAACATGTCTAAATGTCATCTTCTCGAATGAATCCCGATTCAACCTCAGTTTTTCTGCTGTACGTCATCGTATCTACCGACGCCGACATGAACGCTTAGCTCGTAACAGGGTGCTGGAAAGGGGTCCTTTCGCGGGAGGTTGTGTCATGGTTTGGGCCGCTATCAACGTAAACTTCAGGTCCCAGTTTGTGGTGGTCCAAGGCAATCTCAACGCTCAACATTATGTTAACGCCATCCTTCGTCCGATGTTGCTTCCATTGCTGGCTCAACATGGCGTCCGTCGACAGATGGTTTTCCAGCATGACAACGCCCGACACCGCACTGCCAGTTTGAAAAGAGACTTTCTGAACAATCATCATGTCCTTGTGGATTGACCCGCTATGTCTCCCGACATGAACCCGATCGAACACCTTTGGGATGAACTTGGACAACGGGTTCGAACTCAAGCCGTGCCACGACGAACTGTTGCAGAGTTGGCACAGACACTCCAAAATCATTGGCAAACAATGCCACATCTGTGCCAGTTCATGCCAAGGCGACTTCAGGCATGTGTAAGAGTTCAGGGTGGACATACCCGATATTGACTTCAGCTGACCCCTGCTCTCTTTCATGGTTCTCTGACGTTTCGGTTTTGTGCATTTGTGCAGTCCGAGGTCAGATTGGAAGTACAAAATAGCCGAGGTAGGCTGAATGTGCATGCGTCTTTTGAGCCTATCAACAAAATGGCTACAGGGATTTCCAGTAGGGCTATTACTGTGGAAGATGTAAGTAAACCGGGGCAGTTTTGGTTCTGAATACTATAGGTGTTTAATAAGGAGCTAGCAATCTAAAACTTACAGTGGCATTGCAGTGTTCGGCCAAATGATGGCAGTAGTGATGATCCGATAATATCGACGTACGTAATAATTTACACTAAGTATCGGGTTTGCCGATATCAGATTGAGAAAGGCTATTGGCAGCGAAATATATCGGCCGATACAGATACAATTACCGATAGTGGTTGATAATTGATGTAGATACTTGTCATGGTTAGTCGGAAAAGGCCTGTAGGCCCAGTGGTACTATTTTACCTCGGGACTCAAACCCGACGACCCGGCGTGATGTTATTTGAAACTGAAAGTAAAAGAAAAATTAAATTATTTAACAGAATTATATGAAAGACACGTAAAACTTATATTGAAAACATTGTAGAATATTTATAGAAAATTTTAAGAACATTGTATAAAGAGCATTCATACACTGTAAGCAAGATTAAACAAAGGTACTGCATCCGTAAATATCCAAAAAGATATCAAGACGGAATGAACGGAATAGTGTATTACTTAATAATAATAATAATTATTATTTATTTATAGAGCGCCTATAATCCGATATTTTGTTGCTCCATGGCGCTATTACATTATGCTAAAAGTATAAAATAAAAAATATATATATATAGAAACCATAACAACTATTATGGTATATAGAACATCTCAAGAATAAGATTTAAAAAAAGAAACACAAGAAATACCTATCAACATTGCACAATTAGAATAAAATATGGTATGCAATAATAAAAAGTAAACCCTGAAAACGTTTAAGGTGGGTCATTAATTGTTTCTTAAAAACAGGCAAGGCAGGGGAATCTTTAACCTCAGAAGGTAACTTATTCCATAATTAAAAAGCAGCAAAACTAAAAGATCTTTCACCAAATGAGGATTTTGCATGATAGGGCATTGGCAAGTTTTTGATTTGTGACCCAAGTGTGCGTGTAGGAATGTATGAAGTGACTAGCTTCAATATTAATGAGTGTGTTAGAGAGAGTATTTTAAATTCAACTCTGCTAGTAACTGGTAAGCAATGTATTTGATGTAAAATATTGGTGATATGTTCACAAAGTTGAGTTCTAAATATGATTCGGGCGGCTTTGTTTTGAATTTTTTGTAGTCTATTTAGCTGAAGAGAAGGCATATTAAACAATAAATAATTACAATAATCAAGTCGAGAGGTTACAAGTGAGTTGACAAGCATTTTAGAAGTATCAGTATCAATAAAGTTTCTTATAGTTGAAAATTGGGGGATTTGCACATATTCGACATATGGTCTTTCTTGTCAATTTTTTTTACCTAATTTAACACCGAGGTTCCGTACATTGTTACTTGGACGTATGATAGCACCACCCACTTTAACACAATTTGTAATAATTATCGAGAGGCTATGAACAGTTCCTATTTTTAATAGTTCAGTTTTATCAGCGTTTAGTTTTTAAAAGTTGCTTTTCATCCAGTTTTTTACATTATCAATACACTTCTCTAACTTAATAATTTGTTTACTTTCGTTATTGAGTGTTACAGCCACGTATATTTGAGTGTCGTCTGTGTATATATGATAGTCTAAATTGGGATCTCTAATAGTAAGTTGTTGGGGACTGCACCACACAAAATTTACACAAAAACAAATACACGGGCAAGACATCATACTCAGAAAAACAAAAACAATTCAAAAAAGTGAATGGATCCGGGGGTTAGCCTTAAGCGTCCATTGCGCTGTACAGTCCCGGGTTTGTAGTGACACAGACTTCACTCAAATTTGAAAACAATCAGGAATACAACCCAAAGAAACCATTGTGAATGCCAGCATGAGTCATGGTCAGCTGCTATATGCTACAAGAAATACGAATGGGGGAGACCGGGGTTGGTTGGGACACGTCCAGGTTGGGACACCGGCTCTGCCTTATACTAGTTTCAAGGGAGATAACTCGCAATGCACCAGCACACGTCACACGTCGTTCGCCATCTTCGATATACTTCCAAGACGTAGACTAAGGTAAGAATAGGTTTTTTTTTCGAAAAACAGTTTTTAAAGTAAAAAAGTAAAAACTTCAATGCATGCAGTTTTTGTGATTAGCTTGAAGAGAAAGAAACTTCAAGCATTATTATACCGGAAACATTTTATGACTATTATAGGGCCACAAGTTAAGGGGATAACACGTGGATTTAAAGTAGTCCTGAATCTGATATTTTCAGTCACATGTCGCGAGTTGCTGTGGGAGAGGTTTGACACTCGCATTGGGGTAGGTTAGGACATTGTCCCAACCTGCCCTACACTATGTCCAGACCTACCCCTCCACCTCTTTCACCAATCATTTAGGGATATGTACGGATTTTCGATGTATATTATTATTATTAAGTAAAATTACATATTTACAGGAAAGCCATGGAGAGACGAAGAAGACATGCCACGAAAATATGAAAGACTTTCCCATCGAGCAAGTACATCTCCTGATGTAGTTCTTCGAGCAGTAAGTGAAGTGGTAAATGATAATGGATCTATTCGCAAAGTCGCCATTAAGTATGGTATCCCTAAAAGTTCTTTACACACCTACGTTAACCAAGAAAAGAAGAGAAGGGTGGGCTTAAGTGGATCCACGGAGAACATTAGTATAGGCTACAAAAAGAATCGACAGATCTTTACAGATTTGCAGGAGAAGGAAATTGTACAGTATTTGCTCCAAGCATCATCAATATATTTCGGTCTAACACCTAGAGAAGTTCGCAAATTGGCGTATGAGGTACCATTAGAAAATGATGTCAGGATCCCTGAATCATGGAAAGAAAATCACATTGCAGGAACTGATTGGTTCACAGGTTTCATCAAGCGCCATCCATTGAGCCTTAGGATACCTGAAGCAACAAACTTTTGCAAGGGCGACTAGGTTCAACCCTGTGAATGTACAAAAGTTCTTCGATAAACTCATCTCCGTGATTGAGAAATATAATCTTGGAGCTGCTGATATATGGAACATAGACGAGACAGATGTTACAACCGTTCAGAAATCAAAGCGAAAAGTCGCACCTCAAGGTTCAAAACAAGTTGGTGGATTGGTGTCTCGCGAACGTGGTGAACTAGTAACCGTTTGTGCAGGGATCAACGCTATTGGTTCTGTTCTACCACGGATGATTATATTTCCAAGAGTCCGATATCACAATCATTTTATAACTGATGGTCCAGTTGGCTGTGTTGGTGCTGGAAAAGCGTCAGGATGGATGAATAGAGATATTTTTCTGCAAACAATGGAGCATTTTGTGAATATTGTAAAACCTACACCCGATAGACCAGTTCTATTGCTTGTAGACAACCACGATTCGCATTTCAGTGTTCAGATGATTGAATATGCCAAGACCAACGGAGTTGTGATTCTCAGCTTCCCTCCTCATTGCGGTCAAAAACTACGACCCTTAGACTGCTCAGTATTCGGCCCATTTAAGCATCACATAGCTGGAGTAATGGACACCTGACTACGTGTACACCCAGGTAAAACTCTTACAATATATGAAATTCCTGGCTTATTGAAAGAGATGTGGCATAAGTCATTTTCTTATCAATATTGTGTGAGTGGATTTCGTGTAGCTGGTATTTGGCCTGTTAAACCTGGGATATTCTCAGACAAAGACTTTGCGCCATCAACTGTGACAGATAAACCTTACAATAACGCATCTCCATCACAAGTTTAAAATTCAAGTAATCCTACCCAAGAGAGACAGATAATTGAATCACATTTGTTAGCACGAGGGAAGGTCCTTGTTGGTGTTCGAGGTGATGGTCACTGTTTGTTACAGGCTTTTAATCAAAGTTTACTAGAGCAAAATATATGTATGACTACGTAGCAAATAAGTGAAAAGCTGATGGAGGAGGTTGAAACTAACATTGGCTTTTACCAACAGTTCAGCATTGACGACGACGATGTATTTAAGCAGCTAAAACAGTACCTTTTCTGCAAGGATAACAACACAAATACTGCTGATATGTTACTTGATGGTATATGCAATGTCCTTGGATTTCATATAGATTTGCATCAACTTGATGCAAATAGAAATACCTGCCGACGACAGCATCCACCAAGGAATATAGAGCAAGCAAATCTGAGTATTGAATTAGCTTTATTTGGACATGGTGTTGGAGCTAACTACGTCAGTGTCCAAAAGAAAGCGATCGACGCCGTTCAACTATTAGATATAACGTTCGAGCCAAACCTCTCTCCAACTACAGATGGTGAAAAAGGACATACAGCTCACCGTACGTAACTAACGTACGAAAATTAATTGGTGGCTAGCTTTTTTTTCGCACGTATACAGTGAATGGCCATTTTGCTCAGTAATCCCAGCCAGAATTTGGCTATTTTCTAAATTTGCGTTAAAGTTTAAAATATTTGTTTTAGAACTGAAATAAATTAACTATTAGTCAATCCCAACGCTAAAAACATCAACAGAATTGATTGTGTATATCTGAAATAGACACGACCGACGCACAAAATAGTGCCAAGATGGCAGCTACCATTTGCAGACACTGTCATTGAAGGCGACGTCAATTATATGAGTTGTAGTGTTATTTTTGTGAAAAATCATTAGAAGAAGAGAGAACATGTTGGGACTGGGCGAATTATATAGTCTTTATGGGTGCAAAGGAATTAATGCTGAAGATAAACCTATTGTTTACAATTTAACGTGTTGTTGACCTCATGACCCATTGACGTCAATGTCATGACTTGTGATGTGTAGATCACGTGATATGAATATCATGGCTATTGACTGAGTCTGAGATACTTCTCCGCAGGTAGCGTGTCTCAGATGTTCAGAATGACACCTCACAAGACAATGTCAGTGGACACACTACCATTCAACAGTCCACCATCAAATTCAGTCTCGATAAAACGGGTGTGCACAAAAATAACAGAAAGAAAGTACAGAAAAGAAAGAACAATCGCTCTGAAATTTCTGATTCCGACGAAGACGATGCTGATGTAGACTGTGTTGTTTGTGGCGAATCCTACTCAGATAGTCGCCCTAGAGAAAAATGGGTCAGTTGTGTTGTCTGTAAGATGTGGGTCCATGTTCTGTGCACTTCTCAAGACACACTCGCTTTCACCTGTCAAAACTGTGATTCGGATGATGATATATAAATAATGCGTCTTGAAATTGACAAGACAATACTGAAAGACAATGACAAGAAAAATGTAACAAATATTATTTCAAATATGTTTCAGATGTATGTTTCATAATTTATTTCTTTCAGATTAAATAAAAATATGTTAATTCCTCTCTCCTGTAGTTATGAAACATCTGCCCCTCCCCCAACATTTAGATTGTATCAGCCTGGTGTTATTGAAGATTATCCTGCTTAAATTAAGACACTTTCAAATTGGGGTAAGTTAGGACACCTTGTCCCAACATTCCCCGACATGGGTTAGTTTAGGACGGTTTCAAGAAATGTACTAAATTGACGAAAGAAAGTAAAAACTATTTTATTGGATTGTGGATTAGGTACCAACTATTAGAGCAATATTAGCTTATAATGTCGACAATAAAATTTACCTTACTAGGCTAAGTTCTGTCTTCGAATATTAGAAAGTGTGAAAAGTGTCCCGATCAACCCCGGTCTCCCCCTATATATAGTAAAATTCAACTATACAAATAACTACATCGGTGAAATGTATAAAACAATGTAGTCTAAACCTAAATGCTCTAAAATCAATCAAGAAACGTTTCAGTATTCAATGGAATCGAGGTATTAAACATGTTCCATCCGTCACAAAAACAAAAACAAAACTGAATACAAAGAAGCAAATAGGAAATGTAGACTGTCTCGAAAGACAGCCGTCTGCTGACTGAGTGGCGTGACGTTATTTTGGGAATGACGTCATAACTTAGAAGGTGATAAAAAATCACAATAAAAAGACCGATAATCTAGATAAAATAACGTTAAAAGCTTAATAAACTATAAGTTATAGCGACTAATCGGAATTATTAAGTTATGTAATTGTACAATTTATAATATATTAATATAATACCGCACACAAGAAATGCAAAACAGGTATGCTGAAGAAATCGTACTATGTAAGTGTATTTATAAAGGCATAAGAAATAAGTGGGGTAATTCATACAGGGTTAGATAACTACAGAAAATTTAAAAATAATTTAAATTGGATCATTACCCAATATGTAGTCGGTTATATACTTAAAAGAAATGACAAACTTGGTATGTTGAAGAAATGGAAGTTTTGAAATTTCTTTTAAAATGCGTAATTGTGTACCGCTTTGGCAGTGCATTTAAAGTAAAGAGATATTATTCGGGAGAGAAATAGTTCTTTATTGTTACATATTGTCAAAAATCGTAATGCCTGTAAATAGAAAACACTATATAGTGTGGTATCCGGTATATTACTATAGATTGACGGGTATTTTACTACTTCAAAACCAAATTTGTCCGTTTTGTCGAAAATACCGACATTAAATTTATTGTTAATTATATTGATATCCAGATAAAGAACAGATGCATTTATAGTGCCGGAATTTTCTTTATTTAATATTAGTTCAGGAGGATATATTTCACTTTTATATTTGTTGAAATTTCTGTTATCATTGATAGGTGTTATGTCATCAATGTATCGGAAGGTATAGTTTATACTTTTGCTACTCTGTAATCTGTCTTGAAAGTAGAATTCATATTTATATAAATGTGCATTTGCCATAAATGGAAGTGGGCAAGTATAAGCCGCAAATAATAACGAACCGAGTACTGATCCTTGCGGGACTCCATATTTTATGTATACTGGTTTTGGTGACACCTTATTTATGACAACTGACTGTTTTCGTGAAGTGGGATACGATTCAAACCATTTCAGGGCATAGCCAGTAATTCCAAAATAATTTTTTAACCCTTGTCGGTACACGTGGGGTCTCCGTGGTGGTTTTATTGTGTTTTGTAATAACTACTGGGTACAACTTTCTGAAATTTAGTGACTTTGTCTCCTATACATTTTTACACGTAGCAAAGAGATCGGTATTCATCTGCTTCCCACATGCAGAGTTATGTTACATGCAAATCAGGCCAAACGCTTGAAGGGAACAAGGGGTCCAACCGGACCCCTAACTTATAACTCACAGTAGGGATTTTGCTCATGTGTTTGCTGTCTGATACCATATTGCGTATGCCAGAGTATTCGCTCTTTTAGCATCTGCATGTTACAAATACCAAAAATTAAATGATAAATTCCAAATATTCAATGGTTTTTGTATCAAGCGTGAATTGCCATTTAATCTCTTTATCACATAGTACACAAAGTAGCAATTTAGTGAGAATTATTAAATCTTTTCCATATGTCATTAAATGTTTTTGGATAATAATTTAGTTGTTTTTCAGATGTCAAATATGAATGCAAATAAAACCAAACGGCTGCCTTTTAATTGAAATATATCTGTACGTAAAAAGCTTAAATTATAACTGGGGTCCATATGGACCCCTGATACCCGCTATGTGATTCTCACAACGTGCACGCACAAGGATTAAACGTTTAAGTAGAAGTGTTTAGTCGATGAGGTCAAACGCAGCACTTAGGTCTAGAAGAACAAGAAATACCACATTTTTACTATCCAGATTACTTAAAAGATATCGTTGTGCACTCGGAGTAAAGCTGTTTCTGTACCATGGATTTTTTTGCACGCTGATTGAAATGGTTCGTCTAAATGCTGAAATTTTATGTGATCTTTAAATCTAACAGACACTGCTTTTTCAACAAGTTTAGATAAAAATGATAGATTAGATACTGGCCGATAATTTGTGAAGGTGTTACTGTCTAAAGTACTTTAGGCAAAAACTAAGAGCTTTTTTCAGAACATCAGGGAAGGTACCAGTTGACAATGATGTATTCACAACATGGGTAAGAACAGGACACAGTTCGTCGATGCATAGTTTCAGAAGCGGTGATGGAAGCGGATCTCACTCGCATGTCCAAGATGATGATTTGGCTACAAGCTGCTTGATATAACAGATAGGCATGTTGTCTCAGAGTTTTTGTCTGTTTCAAATTCAGTCTTAATATTATCAATCTTGTCAGTAAAATATTTAGAAATCTATTCAGCAAGATCAACATCCTGTGTATGATCTCGTAGTATTTGTTGATTATGCGGTTTCAGAATACTATTGACTTTGTGTTGATGTACTTTTGGGTTATCCTTATAAACACTGATTTGTTCTAAAATATAGTCGTTTTTACTCTACCAATCAAATATTTGTTGAGTTCCGGGCTTGAGTATATAACTTGATGAGACTGTCGTATGCTCTTGGGATAAATATGCCAGGATCACGATTGAGTTCCGGATGGTGCCTTTTGATATTGATAGTTTCTAAGAGTTTCTTTGTCTTTTTGTTGTGTTGGTTGACTGTCAGTGTTTTGGTATCATCCCAATTTATTTTGTGACGAACATTGTTGCTGAGATGTCGGGCTATTGCACTGGTATTGTTGGCTGCTAGGGATTGGTGCTCTTAAATACGGGCATTTAACGGGCGTTTGGTTTCACCTATATGTGTCTGGCCGCAAAGAACACGAAACTTGGTAAACACCCCGTTTAGGTTGTTGTAGGATGGTTGGGTTTATTTTTCCGTTGGCTCGCAGTAAGTCTTTCAGGGTACTGCTACTGGAAAAGATTGTGTCAATACCTGCTTGTGTGTCTGTTGGTTAGTTCAAAAGTGATCTGTAGATAAATATAAATATATTAGTCATCGATTAAATTAATTTAGTAATACACGCGGGGGTTTTTTACCATTAAAATCTCAGAATATTATATTATATCCGTCTATTTCAGGGCAGCAATACAATGTCTAAACGAGATACGGGATATAATATAATTATTATAACTTTAAAATAAAAAATCAGCTTTTTTTATATAATTATTATAACTTTAAAATAAAAAATTGCTTTAGATAATGTTAACTATGTTGTCTCCGTATCATGTCTTCTACAAAAAAAGCACATACCGTCTTAAACACAGCACCTGGCAATAATTATGATGTCTATTTAAACTATCAATATGAAGCATTATTCACTTTTCTGAATTGATTGACCTTGTTTTCGTGCAAGTTAGAGCACCAAACATACACCAGCTTTATTGACTAGAATAATTTCTTCTGATAACATAAAACAGCCGTAAAATGGAAGTTTAAAAATGTTAAAAGGATATCGCTTTACCGTAAATAATCTACTTTAAGTCACTTTTTCGTGTTTGCCTACGTTAGCATAATTATCACGGCTATTTCATTTAAACCTTACGATTTAATTGTTGATTTCCTTGCGATATGTTTTTACACTGAACAGAGCTCATTGCACTTTTACAGCTGTTTCTAAACACGCTTTGTGTCATTTTCAAGCTAATGGTCCTATAGTGGCTTTTTTAATTGAGAAAAACAATTATTACACACTGGATAACTCGAAAAGGTCGTCTTTTTTAACCTTACAGTTTCATTGAGAGTCCATTCTTAGTTGATTGATTCGGAAATCAAGCGCATTTAACAGGAAGCTCATATTAAAGGAATGGGTCGATGGCGCGTCACGCCCTAAATTTTTCAAAGATGTCACGTGAGCACATAAAAAGGAGCGTGCAATGGCGAAGTCAGACGGGAAGTTCTGAAGTAACTGATGATGTGATCGAGGAATAAGCAACTTTCCTTGAATAGACACTGATCATCTATTCCCGCCTTTCACTGGAGATCGCGCTTCTAGATCTTTTATAAAGCATTCGGCTCAGTTCGTCAAACTTGTCGTAAGGGTTTTTTTTTGAATGGCAAGACACTAGAACGTTTCAGACTGGTTTTAATTGGACAGCCATTTCTTCACGTCTGCACTTTATTCTCATCTCAAGTATCAACGAAATTAAGTAACAAGAAAATTTGTAAGTATTCATTTCTTTTATTTATTTTGAACAAATATTCAGTGGTTATTGAAATATTATGAAACGTTTTGCCTAATATTGTAAATATAATGATGCGCTTTATTATTCATGTATCGGTAAATATCACATTACTATCCAAATTTGAACAACTTTAAAATGTAATGATTGTTTTTGATAGCAGATCAATTGAACGCATTGTTTAAATAATATATTCCTTGTTTAAATTACTTATTGGAAATATTCTTACCAGAAAGACTATTACATACTAAAACAAAACTTCAGAATATTACGATGTAAATCCATCTGGAATTATTTCGTTTGTTTTAAACACGGTTTTAATCTTGTTAATAATGTTATCTGGCATCAGTGCGAAATATGTAATTTTATTGGATTGAATTGTGAATTAGTACAACCTTCTAAATATCTAAAGAGAACTTCACGTTTTTAAACTATTGAGTGTATGAAATGAAGAGATTACAAGAAAGCTGAGAACGGGTAGAACTACAAGACAATCACAAATAGATATCGGAATCACGCAGTTCTCCTCTATTTGGGAGTTTAATCTAACAAGTTTATCAATCAAAAGTCTGTCGATTTTCGATGTTCTGCCTGATTTTGCTTCATGAACAAATTTGTTCTATGCTATATATCAGTATGACTTGTAGATAGAATTTTTGTTTAGTCAGCATTCAAAGACTTAAGAATAAAGTCTCTAACGTCTATCATAGACTAGATTATATTGTAATTGCAATAAATATCAGAAACAACATTAAATAACATTAAAGAGAGTGTAACAAAATTTAATATTTTGTCTATATTCTTCAAACTAGTACACATATCGTTGATTTCCACCACCTGAATCCAAAATATGCTCCTTTAAGGAACATGATATACGATAGGTGTAAAATGCTAGATCCAAACTCAAGAGATCAGGTATAAACATTTTGAAAACGCAGCGGGTCTGTTCACCGTGTCTTACCCCCGATTTCGAGAAGTTCTTCCGCACGACGAGGGTAAGAAAATGTACATATCGTTATAAACAATATTCACTCGAAATTTGTAGATAACGGAAAATGTATTATAACTACAAATAACCATGTACGTACTAAAAATGTGTGATCAACAATGTAAAATTAGCTTTTAATGCCGAAATGATCAGTGGGCGTTGCTTATTTTTAAGTAAAAAAAAACCGACACATACTGGTTTGGTCAGTGTGTGACGTATGAGGAGTCGATTAACTGCGCAATATGAGGAGTGTGTTTACATATATTATATATAAGAAACTATCATAATTGCCAACTTTTCTGACCTTCGTCTGCCCCAGTGTACGCTCCCCACATTAGACATGGTGTTTTTGATCTAGTGTTGTCAAATAGGACAATATTTAACACAATCTTAATACCACAGATCTTTAGTCACATGGATTTCAAATACAATACAATCGGGATCTAGAGTTTTGCATTATCTTAACCTTGGACGCGTATTGACCGATTGGCACAAATCTGAGCGAACCAACAAATATCAAATTTAACTTCAAAATTATTAAGGATAAATTAAAATTTTAAAGATGAATTCCTTGTCACGCCAGTTGATTCAATGACAGGCCTTATGATACAGCGCGCACGTGCTAACCATTCGCCCCCCCCCCCGCCGAGTTTAAAAAAGACTCGTGTAAAATGCTTGCGTCTAAGTAGGTCAGCTGTCTGAATTTCGATAATTAGTTAATCAAAGGATATTTTTAATATGACATTACTACATTGATTTTCTTTTTGAATGTGATGATGCCTCAATAAGGATAGAAAGATCTAATTATTAATTATTTGTAATTGTTTACCCCATATCTAACATATTAAAACGTGATTCCAGATTTATCGTCATGAATGGAATGAAATGAAATGAAACGAAACGGGTTTACCGTCCTACTTATCTGCACCAACCGGGTAATGAAGATGGGTGGTTTATCAGATTACCCTATTATTACTGTACAGTTTAAATGAAATTTCAACTTTTACAAAATGCTATATTGGTGGATAACCTTTTCGTTTTCTTCCCTATTACACCCAATCTCATGTTATGATATTCCTTTTTCTGTATTATATTTGTAATTTCGTTTGAAAAGCACAAGGGGAGCACAACGTTAGCTATTTTTTTTTTTTTTTTTTTTGTTGGCCTTCATGCAAGTTATTTTGTTCAATTATACTACACTTATTAACATGTAAATTATATCGAACGAATTGCCTGTCAGGGATGTTGTTCATTCTTTTCTCACATTTTATTCCAAGCCACTATGATATAATTTATATTACTATATGGAGCCACGGTGGCTAAGTGAGTAAGACGCCGCGTTGGCCGAGAAAGTTCATCGGGATTTTCCGACGTGGTTTACCATTGTCAGTGGTGCAAGACGGGGGTCCTGTCAAGGACAGCTGTCTAGTCGTTCAGATGGGACTAAAACCAATGGCGTTCCGCCTTTCAAAATAAGATCACGATCCAATGATAAGCGATGCCTCTGCAGCATTAACAGTAACACTGTTTTGAAATCAAGTGGCATAACTCTGATAGGTATCGTCAGAAATCAGCAATACCAATACGTTATTCTCCATAAATCTCAACCTTTAAGCTTGAAAACTTATTAAAACATCAAAATTCACTATAGACTCTGGTAGTGTTCGGATATTCGAACAAAACACTATTCGAATATTCGAATACGTTGTTCTCCATAAATCTCAACCTTTAATCGTAAGAGCGTATTGAAACATCAAAATTCACTATGGTCTCTGGTAGTTTTCGGATATTCAAACAAAAGACTATTCGAATATTCGACTGGTCTTGAAATTCGTATTCGAATTGTATTGTAACTTCTAACTACTGAAAGGAATGGACAATTGATACCTGATATTTCGAAGGAAGTCGACTAGGGCATATTCACACACATAAACTAGGGGCATGAACAAAGCTATGGAAGACCAGACAGCTCTTTATTCAGTGTCCTTAATTCTTACTTCTTAATTCATAATTCATAATGCTTAATTCTTATTTCTTCATTTGTTGTATTTTGACATTTGTACACTTAACATTTGTATCTTAAAATCAATATTTGTTTCATAAATAAGAGATGTGTCCTAACATATTTGTAAAATGTATTTTTGTTTAATTCAATTTTATTTTAATATAAAGATAAAATTTATTTTAGTAAATCAAAAAAATAATCTACATTTACATTTCATCACAGACATACAACGATAGACAAATCTCGAACAACAAATTTCCACATACAAATCTCCAAATACAAATCTTGCAAAACATTTCTCCAAAAACATTTCTTCAAAAATTCATCGAATCGGAACATTATGATGACCTGAGCCGAAATCAACCTGGCATACAATAAGTCACCGTACAATAAAGGAGCATATATACAATAAGACAAATCGCCCGATGAACGTAACTTTAGTGAAATCACGTGCGTGTTATGTTTCTATATATAAATATATTGGTTAATATGACCTGGCAATAAATAAAATAAATTGAAAGTTGTCTATTTTTAGTAATTAGGTTATTTTTTGATAGCGACATATTTCTTTGGACAAACGAAAGAGGCCTTTATCTCTTCTAAATCATGTAATCATGAATGTCCCAGTAAAATAGCTAATACTCGTATATTCAAAGAGCGATAGACAAATACTTTTCGGTGAAGCATTACACGATAGCTGGAGATGCGTATTAAGACACGTATTTTAACTTTTAAATACACCCCCACCCCTCACTAAATAGAGTTCAGACGATCCAAACTGTATCTGCTTTAACAAGGTAGGTAAACCTGAATATGTCAGAAAATATTTTACAATTTTGAAAATGGGTTTGGACCTTTTTAACGGTATGCAATCCGACATCTTGTATTTCGTGTTATGGCCCGTAGTTTGACGTTAAATACCCCCCCCCCCCCATTTCATACCGGTTAGTGCCAGTCCCTTTTTTTCAAGGTATGTAAATATAAATTTACATTTTGTAGCAAGCAAAAAAACATACTTTCCAGCAGTATATGAACAGGTATCGAGAATTTTTTATTAAGGTCGTTGTTTTTTACTTTAAATACCCCCCCCCCCCTACTCACTTAATCACGTTTAGAACCGTGAAACTTTGATCTTTTTTCAGGGTATGTAAATATAAATGTGCCAGAAAATAACTTGAAAAGGAGTACGGTATTAAACTCTGTTAAGGGAGGGGGTGGTGGGTTCTTAAATATCAAAATACGGGTCATATTACGACATTCCAGATATCGCACAGAAAACCACTGAAAAGAAATTGCATTAACCTTTTCAGAAATGTAAATTATATTCTGGCACATTTAAATTTACATAGCTTGAAAAGGATATTACAGCTGGGTGAGGCCAAATATTAAGTTAGTGGGAGGGGGAGGGAGGCGGGTGATTTAAAAGTTAAAATACGGGTTATCGTGCAATGTATGACCGGAAAGTATTTTTGTTTTATCCCTCTATCAATATATTACTTATTCCCTGGTACACTGATGAAAACATGATTTAGAAGAGATAAAAACACTCTTTCTTTTGAGCAAAGAGCTCACCTACTTAGACGCAAGCATTTTGCACGAGTCTTCTTTAAACTCAGCGGGGGGGGGGGATGGTTAGCACGTATCATAAGGCCTGTCATTGAATCAAATGGCGTAGGGTCGCCTGTACAACTTCGTGGGTTTTCTCCGTGTCCTCCGGTTTCCGCCCACTGCTAAAGACCCCTACGCGCAAGCGAATTATTGAAATAAAATTGAACCATGTTTTAGTCCCGAAATGAACTAGTTGTGTCGAGTGAACGTCAAACCCCATTTCTCTCATTGAGCAAAGAAATATGTCGCTATCAGACGAAACCTAATTTCTGAAAATAGACTACTTTCAATTTATTTTCTTTATCGAAGGCCCGGTAGGATTAGTCATACTACGCGCGTGGTTTCACTAGAGTCGCGGTCATTGGGCGATATTTCTTATTG